CCCCCCCTCCCCCCCCTGGCCTACCGCACTGCAGACATTCCGCCACGCGCGCGTGCCGCCCGCGTGTACATGGCTACGGTCTCTTCCCTGGCTGGCGCGAGAACCTCGCCACCACCTCCCCAAGCTTCCGTTTGCGCTGCTCCGTCCTAGAACCAACACGCCACATGGCGCGGACACGGGCGCCTGACAAGCATGCGAAAATCTTACCAGGGCCTTTCACGTTACCACGGGCACTGGCTGGACCTCGTCCAGCGCAAAATCTACACAAAGCCTAGCGCATTCCTGGGAAAATTCCAGGGCATTGGCCGGGATTAAAAATAAGTTCAACAATTTTTGAGCAAATCAGGGAACCTACATGCAAGCGGACATGCTAGATAATTCTATACCCATGGAAAAAATGGGGAACTCCTACCCGGGGGCGGTCTAAGGCTAAGGCTAAGTCTAACATTAAGGCTAGGCTAAGGTTAAGGCTAACATCGACAGTCACGCCTCACCCCACCTCTCTGCCTGGAGCAAGGCTAGCGCTAAGGTTTTATCCCTTGGGGGTCGGCGGCTGCAGGCGGTAGCCTGGTAAATAAACCCACCCTGAATTGGACATCCTCTTTAATTGGGGGGGTCTTATCAATCAAGAGTCTACATTAGTGAATGTATGTCATATAAGTGGTACTACTTGGGCCAAATCCGTCCCCTGTCCACCACCGAGAAACTGCTGGTGGCGCCGCGCGGCGCGCCCGGTGCACTCCGCTTCGGCGGCCGGAACTGCCGGGACCCGCCCAGCATCGCCAGCGCCTCGTGCATGAGCGTCGCCAGCCTGGGCCCCAAATGACATTGCCCTAGGGCGACTTCACCATATCCTCAGGTTCGGTGGTTAGACCCCCCTGGCACCCACCCTAACCACCTTCTCAGCAAATTGTTGGAGCCCTAGGGATGGTTCCCTGGACCTTCAAGGGGTGTCCAATGAAGATCCCGGATAGTAGTGTGGGGGCTGGAAGCAGCCAGGTGACCCCGACATGAAGTGCTGGTCACCTAAAACCCAACTCCACCAAATGGATACATATATATATTATATATATATATATAAAGCTTCTCGAACTGACTGGGAGAGGATTCTTGGAGCGACAGTGAGTGGTGTATGGGCGCCCTACACACGTGACGATGAGACAAGGCCGAGCCTTTCGACCAGGATTTGGCTGTCCATGCAGGAACCGGGAAAAACATGACAAGTCTTCGCCAGAAGGGGGTTCACCCATGAGGAAAACCAATGTAAGGACCACCAGGTTTAATGGGGAGATAGGATGGGAACTAGGGAATCAGCAAAGAAACGTCGCGCATAGCAGCATTGCGCGGGAATGGATCATTTTGATGAATTTGGGAGGCATGTGGGCCCTAAATGGCCCGATTTATCTCGAGGATTATGGCTTATCGAACTGTAAGTGTGTTGATCGTGATCTGATCTTGTTCACCATGTTATTGGCCGCATGGCACAGTAAATGCACTTCATCCGAGCTTTTGGAGGTTGACGATCGGATCTGAATCTTTTGCAACATTGGCACGGGTTGCACATGTAGAAACAGCCAAGAGAATCCAATAGATGCAACTCATCCTTTCAAACCTCACAGTTGATCGATCTGCTGAAACCGCATCTTCGCCCAGTTGCTCTTCATCCATCTTCACCTCAGCCGAGAGCTGCACCCACATGCCGTGCACGCGAAGAGTTCCGGTTCCGAGGGTCGAAGCACGATGCCAAATGAATGTCACTATAAGGTTGAAAGATGTTGAAGGTTTCTATTAGACACTTTCAACATCTTTCAACCTATTGTATTAGCCACTCTGAGAGGAACAACACATAACAAAACCAAACAACTTCTCTCAAAAGCCATGTTTCTTTCGGATCGAAAAGAAACACCATGAAAAACCCGTCTCCATGAACTCGTGCAGAGTTGTTGAACTTCACTTCACTTCCGCAGAGCGAGCGAACGAAGAAAAACAGAGCGGGTTCGCTCGCTTTTTGCTGAAGTCTCTCCCTGGACTGGCTTAAGGAGCAAGGAACAAGGCAAACAATCTTCCCCCGAAATGGGATAGCACGAAGGGAAAAGGATTCACACCACCCTGAACAAAATACGAGCAGGTTCTACCCTCCACTACAACGACATTGGCAACACTTCTTGCCGGTTTAAAACCTGCAGAAACAACTATGAAATTGCAAGCGCAGCTAAATCTCTGATCTTACAAGTTTCGATCACTTTGGAACCAGCAGCAGCGGCGCTCCATGCTAAACCACCAGCTTACCATAGCTTACCAGTCAAACCATCTCCAACCCGTGCGGCACGCCCAGATAGATCTCATCTCCACTTCCGCCGTGGCACCGTTTCCCAGGGACTCTCCACCGTCGCCCCCAGCGCGGCCTCCGCGGCCTGTGCCGCGGCGGCGCTGAGGCCGCCGTTGACGTGCAGCACGTGGCCGTCCAGGCGGGCCGCGGGGCCCGGGAAGCGCAAGAGGTCGCTGGAGTCCAGGACGAACCACTCCGAGACCTGGCAAGAACGGACAGAAGACCCGAACCTCTGCTTGGGGTGGGTGCCCAAATCGAAGCACCTTCTGAGATGGGAGTTCGGCCTAAGTGGGGTCCACTGGGCTCAGTGAGCTCAAGTGTCCTTATTCGGCGGCAGGAAGGTGCCTAAGGGCGGCCCCGACTCGGGGCTTCTGCTGTTGCATGCCACTCATCTCGCTCCTGTAGCTGGGATACCATGTGTCAAGACCATTGGGAGCCTACACCCCCTTGACACGATCTATCTATACACAAATGCACGATGGTCAGTTGGGTAGTAACATCAACATTTGATCGCGCAAACTTATAAAGCCACCTCCATTGACGTGCGACTGGTCTTAGCAAAAATAGCATAGCCTTCGGTCATGTGCATTTCAACCTGGCATATCTTGGAATAAGGGCATATCTTTGCAACGGTCATTGCGAATGGCAGATTTGTGCCTTCCTCCAAACCTGCGATTTGGGATGCATGGTGCATGTATTCAAGCTGTTCTGTATTCAAGGATGGATTGACATGTCCATTCCTACTTCTTACAGTATGCAATTAATATTACCTGCATCTGTATCACAAGCTATGGATAGCTATGGACTCGAGAACCCTCAAAGAAGACACACAACTTCACAACTTCAGGAATTGAATCTTTTCGATGCTCGGCATTGCGATCATCTGACGGCTTGGCGCCACTGGGGCGACCATGTCGCAGTGTGGCTCAAAGGTGAAACATGGGTCCAAACACGTACGCTCTGACCCAACGGAGCTCTCTCCGCAAGTGGGTCTGGCTAGTAGTGAAGTGCAACAAAAAACCGCGCTGTGGACAAAACACTCACATGTTCAGTCTCGTGGAGTCTAAGAAGACTGCTGGCCACACCCAGGTAAAAATCACCGCACGATCTCCAAGTGCTAGTCATAATGCAAGATCTCCAAGTCCAGGTGATTGCTGGCCTCTTGCATCGCTTTCTGCAACTCACTTCCGCTCCCACGTTGTCCGTTCACGCTGAAGATCCGGCAGGGGACTCGGATCACCTCTTCGGGCAGCGCGGAGGAGTTATGGTCCAGGAAGACGCCCTCGTGAATGTGGGTGATCAACAAACATGGCTTCCTGGTCGGTCGCGTTGCCAAGGCGTGGGGGAAGGCGCACCGCCCACGCCTTTGAAGTGGGCGGAAAAACGTGGGTTTCGGGTTTGTTGGCACGTCGGCGCCATGGGCGTGTGTGCTGTGATTTTATCTTTTTTTCGAAGGCGTTCAGTGGGAGGGAGACCGTTTCCCTTCCTCCCCACAACAGGAGCTGTTTTGAGGAACAATCTCCTTTGCATGTTGCTATGTTGGGTTTGAAAAGGCTCTCTATGTAGGTTTGTTCAGTGGCATGAACGAAGACCTGTTGGCCGGGGCGTCCCCCCAACCAACGCACAAGAAATCACACGAACCACGCACACTGTTCCTCCCTTTAATTACTACAGCTGTAACTGATCCAAATCAGGTTATCCTGACGCCTGAACCTTTTGAGCACCAAATGGTTTGGAAACGCCTCAGCTCATGGTCTTTTGGGCGCACCCCTCCCATGACACCTTCCCTCCCCTATTCTTGACCCTAAACCCTCTACGTGGCTCCATCGCCGGACAGGAGATCCCTCCAGTGCACGGTGGTCCGGTTCGACTTCCCAGGTGGTCGAGAAAGCAGGGGGAACAACAAAGCAATGCCAGCCAGCATAGATGCCTGAAAAACATCCTGATACTATGCCTGGCATGCTGCAGTGTCCTTGTTGCTGTGCATGTTTGCATGTTTGCACAGCTGGTGGGTTTTTTCGCTTGATCACCGACCCAGCGACAAGAGCTGCACGCTGATGCCCAAGCTCTTCCAGCTCGGTCCGCGCACCGAGACCTTCCGCAGCATGGGTCTTTGCACCACCAGCGTCACTGCACCCGTGGCCTCCTGACAGGCAGTCCAGCTGAGGAGGGAGGGTAGTCTCCAGAGTGACTCCCCCTTTGGTGCGTCTGTGCGGGTCTGTTCCACAAAAGATTGTTTCCTGTCATGGGCTGTCTAACCACTGATGTCGTCCCTTCAGATTCTTCCACGGCGGAAAGGGCAATGCAATGGCGGAAAGGGAATGCTGACTCCTCGAACAGGTGTTGACCAACATACGAAATCATATGAACATCGGTATGAACTCATGCAGTTGGGCCTCCCTAATGCCAAATGCTTAATAAGGTAGTAACAAGTGCATCGCTACTAGTAGCAAGGGCATTGCTACTAGTAACAAGAAGCTACTAGTAACAAAGGGCATCGCTACTAGTAGCTCCTGGCATTACTAGTGACAAGAAGCTAGTAGCTTCTTGTTACTAGTGTAGTAATGTAGTAATGCCATTGTTGCTAGACCAACAAAAACCGATCGCTTCCTTGGGCTTGTGGACCTACAATCCCTTTCCGGAACAACGATGTCGGTGAACTCACCCCACGAATTCGTCCCACATCTCACAAAGAGCAGTCCAACAATGATTGGGCCTGCTTGAGCCCACCATCGCAAATCATCGCAGTCGGCCCAGTGGTGTGATCTCTCTGGGCAAAAATATGATCCGCCCAGTTTCCGTGGTGTGAGACCCAGTGTGTTCGTCCAACAACACCCTCCCTGGACCGGGCTCCAGTTAGGCATTCCCGCATTTTTCCCTCAGTTGATGTGGAAAAAACGCCGGCACCGAACTGTCCGTCACCGGAGCTTCCGGTGCAAGCTCGGCGGGGACCCACCGACCCAAGCTGACCCGATCGCGCCGACGTCGGTCTGGCAAGACTCTCTGAGCCGCTCCACCACGACCTTGCCATTGGACGGTGTCTCATCATTCACAGACATGAGTCGGTCGAAGGGGAGGATCTCATGCTCCTGTGGTCGGATCCACGTGCACATGCCGAAAGCGTCGCCATTGGAGTCCAAACAGCTCGAATCCAACAGTACTGGCTGAGACCTCTCGGCTAGTTGCTTTGCAAGGGGGGATTGGCAAAGAACGATTGTTGTGGGGGACCCACCTTCAATGCAGAGTTTTGCAACTCTGAACGCTTTGGAGCCTAGAAGAACACATGAAGTACGGTGTGGCATGGAACCTTGTTAAAGGGTATGATTTTTTTGTGAGTCCCCTGTCGTTTCCCAGGGTTTGGAGTGTGCCCGTATATGAATGCAACGCTCTTGTGCAATCGCAATCCTCGCACATTTGGAAGCAAGGCGCTTCACGATATTATATGCCTCGTTGATGGCCTGTTCCCGCTTTGGCTGCTATTCTTCCAACTGTTGGGTCGAAGGTGGTGACCAAAGGTGAGTTGGGACCAGCCTGTGGACTTCCAGTCGCAAAGCAATGCACCCGGAGACCAGAAATCTAGACGAGGATCATCTTCAAGATCTTAACGTCAAGCGAACGTCGTCGACAGGCGCCAGTGTCTTACCTGATGGACATGCGCCTTCACCACCTTTGCCGCTGCTTTCCATTCGCATGTTCCAGATGCTTTTTCCTCTACTAGTAAGCTCCCAGCTGAGCAAAGGATTTGGCCCGAAAGGATGGAAGGTCCCTGGGGCCTTCCTTCCCTTCGGACCAGGCTCGCCTGGCCGGCCTGGCCACCTAGAACATGCTGTGCGCGATGCAACGGTGCGGAAGGTTCCTGCTCCTTCCAAAACCCAAACACTCCAATGACTGGAGTTGCATATAGCTCCTGACAGAAGCCTCAAATAAAGAGGCTAATGCAACATACAACTCCAATGTATGGCAAATTGGACACTGAATTGGTTTCAGATTTCAGGGGTCTTTTCAGGGCATCTATATTCCATGCGTGGAGTTTCTGGGAAAAAATGCTCAGAGGTCTCCGGCCTCCGGCAGTGCAATCGTGGGCATGCTGCGTACTCTGGTCCCCTCCAGGATTCTGCAATCAAGGACAACTCACCAACAAGATCCAACAAACCCAATAATCGTTTGGATGGACATCCGTTTGGGGTGTCCTGTCTGGACAACCCTACACCATGCAACGTGGAGCTCCCTTCGGATGCTCTAGATCAGCTGAAAGCACTGAAAGCTGCACTTATGTTGTGTCGGGTCCAAGGGCCGGTATGGTCTAATGGCCGGGTTGAATCCCTGGGTGCAACGCTGGGTGTGGCGGGCCACCACCCTGCCACCCTCCACTAAACACCAGGGGACTCTCCTCCGCGAGACCGGACCGGACCGGTCGTGTCCTTCATCCCCTTCTGCGACACACTTTGGTTCCACAGATCCACCAGTCCAGCGCGCCCCACGTGCACAGCATTCACCATACCTCACGGAAGCCAGTCCGGACCGGTCCGGACCGCGGCGGGTGTTCTAGCTTCAAAGAGGTGGTGATATTCTCGGAAAAGGGACACACTGAATCACATTGAACACCTTGAAGGGATCTAAAGAGGTTTTATGGAAGAAACTTCAAGGTTTCGATGACTCCCCAAGCTCCAAAAACGTAGATGAACCTGTTTTCTTCGATGCGAATGTCTGACTCCCTCAGTATATGTCTGACTCCCTTAGTTCCCCTCAGTTCAAGGTTCACCTCTTTTCACCTGGCTGGCGGCCTTTTCACAGGTCCGCACGTCGGTGGACCAACGGTCGGTCACCTCGGACCGACCGTAGGAAACGACGTGTTCGCCACCGGGGAGAACCAGCGACTCGCGTCACAGGAAGCGGTAAGACCGTCAAAATCCCATGAGTTGCAAAGTAGCAAAGGCATTCTAAAGTTCTAAAAACATGTCAACAGCAAGTCTCCACTCTTTTCATCCCATGTGCCCCCGTAAAAAAGGGGCCGTGTTTTTGGCACATGTGGCTGGCCCCCTTCCACCGCCTCTGTCAGCTCAACCGAGCATGGCAAAGAAACCTCTTGGTCGAGGCACACACCTTTCCCGCGGCGGAAAGATCCAGCCCGAAGTCCATGTCATAGTGTCCTTGGATGAACGAACACCCAACAAAGACGGGCCGGGTAATCCATGTAGGAACACGTGGTCCTGCAGGGCAACACCAATAACAACCAGCATAATGTATACTTGTTTAGTATTTAATTAATGTAGTGGGGTTGTTCCATCGCAATCAAGGACATCTTGAATTCATGCTGGCCACCTGCAGAGTGGACTAGCCAAATCCTTCTTGTGAACACATCGGCAGGGTCCTTCACTTTCGGATTCGCTACGGTCCATCTGACCATGCGAAAGGCCGGCGATAAAAACGAGAACAACACACACACACACACCGAATCACTAAGGACACCCACGGCTCTGAAGGGCCTAGGGCCCACGGCTCTTCTCGGTGCTACTGAGTCTTTTTCAGGGAAACTGTCCATTTTCAGCCACCAGTCGCTGAAGAGCAATACGAGTACCAGTTGATGAGAAGCTTTGGAGTCAGAGTCATTACAGTAGCTTTATCCCTTTGTTTCTGCAGCCGATATGTGCACATATCGCAATGATTGAAACAAACTCGCATGATGTAACTGATGTCCTTCAAACAGATTCACACGTTTTAACAAGAATCTCACTACAGCTAAATTGTAGCAACCCCAAAAGATTCGATATCGATATCTAGGAACCCGCTCATCGCCTCAACCAAACAAATAAATACTTGGAACAAACTTTGGCCCCTTTCTTTTTCTGGGGGACTTCGGGCATCTGCTTCTCTCTGGGACGTGTCAAAGGAAGGGTCCAACCTGTCGCCACCCGTCCCTGGCCGTCCCAGGTTCTCCTCAGCTCCACGGTGAAGGACCAACATCCCTCCGTCCCTGTTCTCACCTGGGACATGCTGGGACCAAGCCAACCATCATTCATAGAGGATCTTCTTTTGACAGGAAGATCCACTAAAACAACCTCAATATTTGGGCTTGGGAACATGACCAAGGTCTTGAGAAGAACTCGAAGAATGTGAATGAAAGTGGAACATGGCTCCTTTTTTGGTAGTTAAAGGTCTTCCGTTCAAAGCCATGAACATCCTCGAAGCAGCATGTTTGTTGGCCTTTGGGGGGTGCGCCCGGTTTGGCGTGCAGAAACGGCGGCACATCTACCACTCGAGACCACTGGGACTCTGCAGTGAGACCTGGCCCCAGGCCTTAGGACGCCAAATGGTCAAATGGCATGTCACAGTTCTTTCACAGTTCAAGTGGTTTCAGAGATGGCCACTGGCACCCCAAGATGTCTTCTAGATGGGGGGTCCCACAACTACACCTCCAATTTCCGGGCCCTTGTGCCATCTTCTCTCAACCCGATAATCAAACACATCATCATCCATTGGGTCCACTCATCCGAGTTTTGTTTTTATATCCTTCATCCAGCCCTGTGGTCTCTGGTCTTCTCCGCCTCGCTGAGCCGAGGTCCATGGGCGCTTTGGACGGGAATCAGCTGCTCGTCGGGTCCATGAGGGAGTTCAGAGGCGCCACAGCAACAAAGCATTTTCGGACGACTTTGGTCCGAACCCCGACGGCGCCCGCTTCTTCCCGCGATCGGGACTTTCCCGCCGGCCCGAATCCGGTGCGGTTGGCCCGCTTTTTCTCGTGCGCGGAAGAAGGCGTGGTGGCTGAAGCTCGCTTTTCCCGGAGGCTCCGTAAATCATGGTCGTGGTTTTTGTCTTGCGTGGAAGCATCCAGCTGTTGAACCGGTGAAGTGAATGTTCCATTTGTTCATATGTGGGGAAATGAACCCCTCACTATAGAAGGTTCAGGCCACTTTTCCAGGGTAGGAGGCGGACTCGAGCCAATGTCGTGGACTGATCATGGTTGGTCCATCTAAGGAACCCGGGCAGCCTACCTGTCCATCATGCTCGGCAAGAAGGGTCAAGGGTGATGAGCGCCCTCCTCCACTTTGGAACCCTAAAAGTGTGTGAACCTGAAGGTGACCACGGTGTTGTATATGTGGCAAGCCGCCCAAGAACAGGATCACTACAGGGCTTGGGGATTGAGACCCAAAAAGCATGCAAACTCATGCTATGACTCTGGCGATAAGACTCATGAAAACACAGGCGTTTAGCCTCCAAGCACCATCTACGCAATAACTTGCAAATGGAAAACCAACCAACCCACAGATTTTATGGTGTTTCGGCCCCCCCTTGCTGGTTCCCAAAGGAAGTGCAGCCTGGTGAAGTTGGTGTTCACTTTGCTTGCATATCACTGCGGGCACGGTCAACCAATGAACCAATTCAGTGGGTCTAACCCGGCTGGTTCGGACTCTGAGTGGATGAACGAAGGTGGTCTTTGTTCATTCCAAGCGCCAACTCAAGCGGAAGGTTTCTGGACAGAAGGTTGACACTGATCCGAACGGATCCTGGGAATTCGTCGCTTTGTAACCCCTACACTCCATGGGATCTGGAGGACTGCCGCCCCAGAAAGACCGGCACCAGCCCTGGCCGGAACTTGAAGGCAGTCCCACCGCAGTCCCAGACAGGTCGCGTCTGGGGTAGCTCCAACTCATCGGCTCCCAGAGAAAAAGCGCCGGAGGAGAAATACACACTCAGTGAGACCAAGTGGTGGATTGGATCAGCCCGGGTTTGGTGTCCTATGGTTTTTTTGATGCAAACATCGAAAAAAATCAAAAAAACACAGAACAAAAACAGAAAACCATAAATCAACGAAACACATATGTTCACATATTTTTTGTTTTTTTGTTTTAGATTTTAAGCTATGTTTTTCTATTTTCAGCAACCCATTGACACACTAGCCCACACAACAGCCTGCAGAATGTTCCTGTCAAACAACGCACACCACGAGAGTGTTTTCACATGTTTTGGCATGTATTTCTATGTATTTTATCGTGTTGTATTTTTTAGACCTTTTTTAGTATTTTTGTCAGTTTTTTTTTTTCATATTTTTGCATGTTTTATGCACGTTTAAGATTTCTTACGATTTTTTTTTAAAGATTTTGATCCTGGGAAATTATTTTTTAATTCCGAAACCCTTTCCCACGAAACCCCCGCTTGTGAGATGATTTGAGATCTTTTGAGATTGTTTAAGATTTTTTTAAAGATTTATAAAGATTTAAAAGATTTCAAAAGATTTTTGTAGATTTATATTTATATTTATTTCATGTTTTTAAAATTATTTCAATTTTTCATTCAAACAAAACATTACTGATCTAGACCACTTCCAATCTGATCCACCTTAGCGTCCGCGGCACACACTCTCACCATGTGACTGGGCAGTTTCACATCGACCAGTCGGCCTTACTTAAGGCAACATCGATCTCCTGGGTTCAGGGTGCCCAATGGTGCCCATGGTCCATTCACATTCACCATAATTATAGAGATAAACACCCCCCAACTTGGAACTCCCGGTGTTATCCCTTTTTTGGCTCGTCCTCCTCCCATTTCCTCCCCCTGCCCTTTGACCTCCTTCCGGTTGGTGTTGAGCCACTGCAAAATCTCTAGGTCTCTCCTGCCCAGCAGTGCGTTGCATTTCCTGTTGTTCACGCATCCCATCTATCTTACGTTTGAGATTGTTTAAGTATTGTCTGCGTGCTCACTGCATCCGCTGTACTCGGGACACATGCACACTCATGGGCTTACATAGCGCAAACTCACAGATCTGAAGCCTCTTCCTTTCAACAGATTTTGATGCAGGTGTCACCATGCCAAAAAGTAAACACAATATTAGTAACATTTAGTAACCATGTTAATGAACAAGCGCTCGGTCTTTGCATTCCTCAGGCAGTAGTTGGTGGTCCAAACAACTCAAATGGTGCAATATGGTTCAATTCCTATATGCAGGACATTGGATTGGGACACACATGAATCAACACAACAGCACCTTCTAGCTTTCTGATTTTCTGAGTGTCATGAATGTTGACCCACTTCGATTCATTCTCTGCACCAAATCTGAATTTGTTGAACTCCCACCCTCCAAACACTGCCGTTGACCCGTTGACCCTCGCGTCTCTCCTGCTGCTGTCAGCGTTGAAGGGTGTCACGTCCACGTGTCGTGGAGGTGGTGTGACCCCGTAGTTGGCTAAGATCTCGAGCAAATAGGCCTCGCGACAAAGGCTGTGCAGGTTCGTGACGTACCCAAACACTCCATGGGGGCCATAACATTACATTGACCCCCCAAACCACCCCCACTGATCGGCAAATATGCCATACATGAAGTGTCTGAGTCTGGGGTAAGTATATAGGGTCCTGATTCCGGCCGTGAGGTGACCGTCATTATACATGTTATAACCTGTTCAGTGACGCCTGGAGACGGGTGGCCTCCGAACTTGTTGATCCAAACAAACCCAGAAAAAACATAGCTGGTGGGTGTTTAGTGCACGCATGTTTAGTGCACGCATTCGCGCGCATGCGGCCGGGTTCAGCTGCCTGGTGTCGCCTCCAGTGGCTGGTGAGCACCAAATGGGCTCCAGTCCGTTTCAGCAGCTGCTGAAGCAGGGCACAAGGTTCCTTGGGCGTCGCGTGATGAGCCGTCGGGGGAGAACCTCTTCGCAGGGACACCCAGAGGTGGCAACAGGGCTCCAAATGCCAAAGACAGCCTTCATCTCAAACAAACCCACACCCAAGCTCTAGCGAACTCATGCCCCCCAACCCACTCATGCCCCAACTCCCTCCAAAACCCTCCAGCCACCCACCTAAAAACCTCCCCTACCCCCACTCTTCCACCCAGCCACCCACCCTGTCTTCGACCTTCCTTTCGTTTCGTCTTAACGGTCGTAACCACCAGCGGAATCGCGCCTCTTCGAGTCGGATGGCACGGGGATCCGGTGTGGAGTTCAACACCTCGGAGCGCCGGCGTCGCGCACTCGCTCGGCCGGTTCGGGAACGGTCGGTGGGGTGCGACGGACAGGTGCCTTGGGATGGGGGCGAAGATCTGATGTCACGTGAATGATATATAATATATTATGACATGATTGGACATCAAATCACATATATATATATATTATAGTACAAATACACCTGGATCTTCGTTGGACAACAATCTTTCGTGCACTTGTTTTTGGGGGTTCCGTGTACATTGACCCGAAATTCCGCGCACCTCATGGCGCCACGTCTGTCCAATTCGCGTCTGGCGGTTGAACTGCACAGGTCCGTCCACCGGATGATCTCTAGCGCTCTGTGGCGTAGGGTTCCGGCATCTCTTAGCTAAGTCACGTGTCCGAGGCCGGGGAACCCTCGGGTTCCCACAAGGGAGAACAACAGAGAAGCCTAGGTGAGAAGGCTGAAACATCTGCCTTCTCATGGCCATTTGGTCCAAGAATCCCCATGATGACCAGGGATACACTAGGGCGCCAAAGATTAGGGGTTGAGACACATAAAGGTTTGCTAAACATGATTCGATTAAAAAGACAACAAAAGACATAAGACAACAAATAAAACACCAAGTGGAATGACATGGGATGTTTAAGTCCTGAAGGCATTGCATTTTGCAGGGCTCAGAACAGTGCCTGAAACCGCCATGAAGCGTTCCCAGCTACAATGAGATCATAGACTTAGACCAACCCCGGCCCCACTTAAAAAAAGGTCCTGAAAGAGGGGAGGGGGGCATGACGTGTTTTTGTTCTCTCCGGGAGCTGCACAGAAGTTCAAGCATGGAAGTTGGGGCAGCCATTACCACATGATACCACATGGGTGCACCCCCAAACCCATCTTGTGACGAGACCCATCTCCCCCCGAACCGAGTACGCAACCCACGCAGTTAGAAAATCATGCGTAAGTGCGTAAAGTGACATCATGGTGGGAACACATTCAGGGCTTGCATTATGTTGGGAGGGAGATACACTCTCACCATCCTGGAGCAAATAGAATGTGGAAGTAGGGCAAGTCAAGCTGCAAGTTATTAATTGCAGGACAACTGGGCATAGTAGCTGACAGTAACGATGCAAGCGAACCATTTGGAACTGTTCAATGCAGTATTTCTTTCAACCCTTGAAGCTTAAAGGGCTGTCTACAGAATTCGCTAAGTTCATGGAACATGCCCGGCTCCAAAAAGAACCATTGCTCAATTGAATCCTCCCACCCCCCCGGCTCCGAAAACAAACCACGCTCCCACGCTCCCAACCGCACGTCTGTCCGCGCCGGACGAGTCATCATTCGATCCCCACTGTCACAGGCTTGACGAAGTGCATGGTCCACATCGACAAACAAGACCTTGCGCATAGCTGGAGGCCTCAAAAAGCGCTTTTGTTTAGCCGTGGCAAGTGGGTCTCAGGAAACCCCGAGCCTCTGGAGGCAAAAAAAGAATCATGGAAGTGGAAAAGACATACACTCCCTGAAACACCGATGTTATTCTGGCCTAGATGGGCCGTTCGGCTACAGCGATGCTGGAGTCTAGAGACTTTGGATGGCACCACATGTTTGGTAGATTCACATAGGTTTCCCAGGGGCCATGCCATCCAATTCCCCTCTCCCTGTTCTAATGCACACAAAGGTAGGTAGCCTCAAAGTACCCTGGCTCCAACATCTTCATAGAAGTGACATCGTCGTACGATGGTTGTTCATTTTCCTCGTCGCGAGTCGCGAAAACAAAGGACAATCAAAGCTAATCGAACATCCAAAGTCTTTGGACCGACATCGGTGGCCCTAAGGATGTCGGCACCCCATGGCCGGTATGGCTCCGGCGAAGCCCCACATCTTGTGTCCAAAACGGCACGTCCAGCGACACCGGACGATTGGAGATGCAGTTCAGCATGTTCAGCAGTGGCTGAAGGGAATTCATGACCCTGTCCATCAAATGAGAAATGGCCACCCGTGTTGATTTTCACAAGTTGAATTCAGAAGATCTTGTCTCCGCAGGCCAAAAAACAGGCACAACAAATAAGGTGGCGGAAAAAAGACACACAAAGTCATACACCAAAAATCACCAAAACAATAACAATGATCAACAACACATGGCCATGGCCATCTATGGCCATTCAATCATTGACCAATGACACTATTATAGTCTATTATATGTATGTATATATATATATATATATCAAGATATTATCAAGGGACTCCATTATGTACACTGTTTATGAAGTAACCACAATTCCACGTGTACATCCAACCAACACATACCAGCAGGTAAACAACCTGAACACCCTGGAAAAAAAAAAGAAACATCCAGAAAGCTCCAATTACCCATCCAAGAACCCTAAGTTATTTAGTTTCTAGCCGGGTGGCGGTGGTGGAGGTGGACTCACCTCCTGCTCCTCCTCTTCATCTCGCGCGCCGATGGCCACGCACGGCATGACGGCTTTGGCTTTGTCGCTGCAGCCGAGTGGGTCGATGCAGCCCCCCGAGATGACATGAGACATGAGATGACATGAGACATGGGAAAGGGCATGATCCAAACATGTGAACTTTGCATTGCAGTGGTCGGGTGTTCAGCTTTTGTTATTTGCACGTGTGCCGGAGGTGTATGTGTACCTCTTCTTTTCAGTTGCAAGTGGCATTGTCCGAGGCCATTACTACATCATTGCCTGCAACTTGCCCTATACTGATACTATACAATATTTTATGTTCACCGACCAAGTATATAACTCAGTACTTCCTGACGCGCACACAAATGCCACGAATCTGTTGGGCATGCTCACTCCTGTCTTGTTCCTTTTCTGATTCAAGAGGAGCTGAGCTCGTAGCCAAAATGTCTCAGCGGCTTCGCAGAAGTAAGCAAGCACTGGAATTGGCACAGTAGGCTTCATCGAGAACCAATATACAGTAAAGGCAAAGGGACTCGATTTACTCTTTAGACACCACCAGCTTTCCCTTCCAACTTGTCTCTCCAACGTTCCTTCGCGTTTCATCATTCCCACAAAACAAAGATGCCCACCACTTTCGGAACTGAGTTCGCAGCCATGATGTTGGCCTCAGCTCCGCGTCTTTTGCTGAGTGCACTTGGAACTCTCAAGAAACAGTTGTCTGTCGAATCTCTGCCTCAGAGGGGCACCAAAAAAGGCCGGTTCTGCAGGTAAGGATCCCAGTGCAAGGCCACCCATCACCCCTCTAAAAATATATAGTTCATGTGCTTTGGTAGCACACCGATTCAAGAACCTTGTCCATACCAACCTGTGCCTGGAGCTTCCAGTCCTAGGATTCGACGTGTTTTACCCAACATAATGTGTTGTACCGGACACCCCTTGATTTTAGACACCCATTCAATCGTTCTGTCATTCTTTCTATAACTTTCTACCATGTCCTTTCTATTTTCTATCTTTCTCTCTCTAGGTTTTTTCGGCCAACAATTCCAAACCCTTGATCAGGCCCATCTGGGGGGGTCTGGGGAGCTTCATTGACCTCACGATTCGCTTGTGCCGTCTCCCGTCGAGTCTCCTGAGAAACACGTTCCTGTTCGATGGTCTCTCCCTGACGAACCAACATCACATACTCCCTATAGCCCCAGCCTTCCAAGGCCATTCAAAGAAAGGTCGACCTGGTTTAGTAGTCTAAGTTCCTCAGCGAAACACCAGTTGTTCGGGAAAAACATGGACAAACTGGTTGTTGCTCCAAGTCTCTCTCCTTGGTTTGGGGGCAATGTTTGGCCCGCTCTGGGGCCAGGATTCCTGAAGTATCCCTACAAGTCAAGGACCTCATGGTCATACAAAACCAGTACAAAAGGAGTTAAAACACAAGTTTTTACTGGAACTGTAGGGTATCTTCCTTTTTTCTTTCTGAGACCTTGGCTTTCGTAGGCATCCTCTCCGGCCTGGTGGCTCCAGCAATAGATTACCCCAACCCAAAGTATGAGATTCTTTCATGTTGTTTCAACAATCCATACATGCGCCCACCAAAAATGTGTCTTATCTATTGTACTTGTCTACGGAGTTGTGAGTTGTCTACCCCTTTCGAAGAGACAAAACACAGGCAGTGACCTGTCCAGGCTCAGCTTTACCCCACCACAGCTTGGGGAGGCCGGACAAACGGTTCCTAATTGTTTGATGCCGGTGGTCTGTGCGGCGAGAGGGGCGGCCATGGGCCCTCTAGAGTCTCAATTGACCTTGTGGAGGGCGCTGAGTCCATACACAAGGAAAGTTCCACTTGATTCAATCTGATGTGTGGATGGGGTTTGTCTATCATGATCTACCCGTAGTAATTATTACTCACGCATTAAAAGAGGGCAGCTCGATAAAAGCAGCAACCGGTCGCTATATCTGCACAGTTTCCCCAAAACTCTGGAAACAAGCGGCGCCAATTTTTTGAAAGTTGAACTCGACACCCATGTTCAACGCGAAAACATCTGTTTGGAGGATGAAGAGCAGCATTGGAACTCAGGAATTTCATGCCAAATCACCTCCCTGGTTCCACCACTTCTTCACACATCTTGGCATTGCAAGATCCCCAAATCTCACCACAAATAACACCTTTCAAGCCTACCAGTAGCAGCAGCAGTAGTTAGTACGAGCTTAGTACTACCTGAGAAGCTGCAAAACCAAAGCCAGCGTTTTTACTTTCGAGTGTGCTTTCTCAGGCCACCCCCCCCGAACCCCCCTTCTTACTCAGCTGGCGCAGGTATAGATACCCAGGGTAACTACAATTCAGTTACCAGGTATAGTACTTCAAGTTCCCTTTCCGTCAACCGCTCGATAACCTTTACACACGCACAGCAATCCACAGCTTTGAAGTCCCATTCTTGCATTGAACTTATATAGGTGTGTAAGAGGTATAGCAACATAGCATTTTTTACGGATCCAGGGTAGCTACAATTCTGTTGCCAGGTATCCCGCTTCAATTTCCCTACCCTGGGTCAGCGCGCGCGCCTTGCTGGCTCCCGGCTGCCCGTGATTTAGGCGCGCGCGCGCGGACCCAGGGCAGCTACAAGGCAGTTGCCAGGTGTACCCAGGGTAGCTACAATTCAGTTGCCAAGTATAGCACTGCAAACCACCGAAGACAATTGCATTTCTTAAATTAAATCACAAAAAAGCACCTCCAAAACCTTGCTTCAGTGCACCCCTACACACCACCTACTTTCGAGTGTGCTTTCTCAGGCCACCCCCCCAAACCCCCCTTCTTACTCAACTGGCGCCTTGCCAGGTATAGATACCCAGGGTAGCTACAATTCAGTTGCCAGGTATAGTACTTCCAGTTCCCTTTCCGTCAACCGCTCGATAACCTTTACACATGCACAGCAAACCACAGCTTTGAAGTCTCCTTCGTGCTTTGAACTTATATAGGTGTGTAAGAGGTATAGCAACATAGCATTTATACGGACCAGGGTAGCTACAATTCTGTTCCCAGGTATCGCGCGCATGAGACTTCAAAGCTGCGGATTGCGCGTGTGTAGCGGTTATCGAACGGTTGATGGAAAGGGTACTTGAAGTACTATACCTGGTAACTGCACTATAGCTACCCTGGGTATCTATACCTGGCAAGGTGCCAACTACACCTTACCATTCAGATGATGCAAATGATGCAAATTGCATTTCTTGCATCACCACCCCTCAAAAATAACCTCCAACACAACCTCAAAAAACCTTCCATCCGTGCACCCTCCTCCCCCAGCATGTGCCGAGTTTACGTGTACCTTTTGCGGGCGACCCCCTAACTACTCACTTCGTTCGCCAAGCACAACTCAGCTGGCGCCTTCTACGAAGGCTGGCTTTCGTAACCTGGGAGCCTGGGAGTGGGTAGAGGAGAAACATCTCCAAACTTTCCAGCTGATTCGGATTCCACCTCGGGGGTCCATCAAAGCCATCTGCGAGGATCTGCATCTGTTCCGGTGTGTACCTCCCAACCGCGATGGCAAGCGATGCGTAGCGAAAACGCGCAACGGGCAGCACGATCCACGAGCAAATACGGTTGCAGAGTAGATGGCACACACCTCAAAATGTCCTTTACATGGGGTCTTTCCAAACCAGCTTTTGGGGGATTGCACCATCTACTCGGAAACCATGGGAATTCAGGACGCTGGTTAGCATGTTGACTGTATTCTTTGAGTGTTAACACAAATCTTACCGTGACTCATCTAACCCTGACCTGCACACGTGCAACGCCATGGAGCAGATATCTGCGGGGGAACACTACCTAAGCTTCCGACGTTTGCGATCAAGAGTAGAGTCGGAAATGTGCCTTTTTCTTGGGAGGAACATGGAGGAACCCCATCCATACTATTATCCCAGCAGCAAAACCTGGCAGTCCACCCCAGCCAATCCCAATTACCACTGCAGTTCGTCACGCCCCTGTATAATATTCTACCTGTCCCACAAGTGGCATGCCATGGTGTGCCTCAAGTGCACAGCCCGCCTGAGGGTATGCCGCATCAAGCATTGCAGGTTCCAAATGTCGTTCACACATCCCTGGTCGGCTTGCAAGTGGGGGGGGCGCTCTGAAAATGGCCCAGCTTCTACTCAGGGTTCAACAGCCATCGTCACTGGATATACCTCGTCTTTTGGTGGTGAACTGTTCTGGAAGTTTGGCCGAGGATGATCAAGGCTTTCAATGATTGCGCACAACTGAGGGTCTAAAAAGTACTATATTCCGACTGCGCAAGAGGCAATTGGAAAGAAGGCAGGGCACATGTATTGACAAACTATCCTGACAAACGTGGCCTGAGTGGCGGAGTGCTCTTATAACATCTAACCACCCTCACCTGGCAGGTGGGGAAATACATGGAAATACCTACCCAGGTGACGACGCCTTCTGGCGCCTGTGGGTGGCGTGTTACATCTCTCCTGAAACCCCCTGAGGAGGACCATTTCAAGAAAATTGAGTAAAAATGGGGTCGTCAATTTGGACATTAGTTTTTGTTATTTCAAGTACCTGAGTAATAAGAGTTTGTTTCCATCAGCAATCAGATAAATTGGGATCAATCATCTTAAGCATGAGACACAATGCTCAGAGAGAAGGACTCCCTTCCACGAACTGATTGGACTCAGTCTTGGTGTAAGTTCTCTTTGTAGCAACATGGCATGAAAGCTGTGACATTCTCTCTTAAAAAAGCCATAGTCTGCTCTGTCGGTTTTCAAACGGTCCCAATTGGTCAATTCTTTCACCAAAGTGCTCAGCGGGAAAACCGCCATACGCTGCTTTTCACTTCCAGCGGCAAGCCTTCGACAAGTGCACCAGGAACTCTTGTCCCGTGACATCTCCATCAGCTCTGAGGTTTTTGCGCCAGAGCCATTGGTACACACGGCGTTCCAACGTTGCATTCATGCAGCTGACGCCTTTCATTTTTCCTTTTCTTTTTACCTGCTTCGGCATGAAGCGCTTCAGGCTTCCCCAAGCAGCATCGATGCACCGCGTCCCGTAATCAAAC